TAACCCCGACACTTTACGAGTGCTGTGAGCTTGGGCACCTTACTTAACATGTTTCATCCTCATAGCCTTGTCTGTGAAAAAGAGCATGGCCTTAATTAAGTCCCCACTCTAAGCAAGCACTCCACACATGGTAACTCACTTAATAGGAGTCACCTGCCTACCCCAATGACAAGTTTATGGTGAAGATCAGCAAAAACCTTGGGTGGGAAAGCACTGGGCTAAAGCTAAAGCTCTGCAAGACGGGATATTATTACCACCTCTGCGCACACAAATCCCAAATCTTCAGTTCTACCCTGGCCCGTGTCCCGAGGTCCAGGCTGGCACACCGCATCAAAGACTCCCCTTACAAACTCGTAAGCAAATGTCTTATGCCAGGGTTTAGTTCCCTCCGCATCAGGCCCCCACCCATCTTTTCAGGCCTCATCTTACTCTGTTTCTCTATAAGGCAGACCCTCTGCAGTGATCAAAAAGGCCTAGTTCTGCAAGCAAGCCTGCACCTGCCCAGGCTCTGAGCTCCTGCTCACAATTGCCCTCTGCTTCGGGAAGCCTTCATCTCTCTCTGCCTACAGAAACCTTGCCATATTTATAAGCCAAACTCAGATCCCATCCCCACCACGGTGATCTCTCTTTACTCTTACTTCTACAACAGCGACTAGTAGAACTGCTAATACCACTAATACCACTATGAGTACATGTATCTACTTAAAAGACTGCCTAGGGCCAGGCCTGGTGGGTGGCTCACGCCTGTAATCCTAGCACTCCAGGAGGCTGAGGCAGGAGGATACCTTGAGCTCAGAAGTTCGGTACCAGCCTGAGCAAGAACGAGAACCCGTCTTTAATAAAAATAGAAAAATTAGCCAGGCGTCATGGCGCATGCCTATAGTCCTGGCTACTCGGGAGGCTAAGGCAAGAGATCGCTTGAGCCCAGGAGTTTGAGGTTGCTGTGAGCTAGGGTGATGTCATGGCACTCTAGCCTGGGCAACAGGGTGAGACTCTGTCTCAAAAAAAGAAAGAAAGACTCCCTAGGTTTATATGCCTTGATTCTCCCACTTACTAGTTGTCTGACCTTGAGAAAATCAATCTATCTCTCTCCATTTGAGTTTTCTCACCTGTAAAATAGGCATAAGAGCCTTCCTACCTCAGAGGGGTATGATGAAGAGCAAATGAGATAATACAGACAATCCACCTGGTCTTGTTACAGCACAGTCCCCACAATGACCCTGAGAAGGTATGTGCTGCTCTGGTCTCCATTTGACAAATGAGAAAGTGATGGTCTGCAACTTCAGATGCAGCCCTTAATTAACCAGACGGTTCCATGTGACTGGGTTAGTCTTACTGAGCACTAACTATGCTTGGGTGGTATGCTAGTCCCTTCACCTAAATGGTCTTTTTTTTATTTCTCTCAAATGATCCAGCCCCCATTTTCTACAAACAAGGAAACCGAGGCCCAGAAAGTAAAGCAACTTGCTCAAGGTCACAAATTCAGTTAGTTTCTACGGACGTCAAATTCAACTCCAAATTCTGAATGTTTACACCACACCATCTCTTTACAGTGTGTTGGTCTTACCAGTCAGATTGTAAGTAGCAGTGTCTGTACTTCTCGCTAAAGCCTGTATTTCAAAGACCACAATAAGCATTAAATAAATACATTTTGATTGATTGTTCATCCCACATTTATTGAGTGTCTACAATGGCAGACAGCAAAACAAAGCACAGGTTATAGTAGGAAACACTGTTATAGTGTATAACCCAGTGTACCTAAACACATATCTATAGCATAATCTATAACGTAGCCTAGGATAGCACAGAGAGTGGGAGCACGACAAAAGGAGCAATTGATTGATCAATTCAGTACAGATCCAACAGCACTGTGTACAAATGCCCCAAACAAAAACAACCCGAAAGAACACTCTGTTTGGCAATGGCCAACCTAGAAGCAAAACTTGTAGAAGAGGCTGCCCTTCTTGGATTGCAAAATGCTGTAAACAGATCTCTAGCAATGTTTTCGACGACAGATCCAGGGCAAGGAGACTGCCAGGAAGACAGCTGCTCCTCTGCTGACTCTTACTCATTACCTACTGACTGAGCAGTCTCCCCTCCAGACCACAGCCACAGGAGTAAATAACCCTCACCCAACAGATGCCCCGCGTTTAGCTCAAGTGGGTACTAGGTAGGAGGAAGGGGTGTTGCATACCCGGCATGGAGCACACATTCCCTGAGAGCTCTTCACAACACTCTGCAGATGGCCATGTCAAACGCCCTCCTCAAACCTCCCACCCCTCCCCACTTCCACTGATGGCCTTAACTGTACTTTACTGAGAAAGTAGAAATTTTCAGAAGGAAATTGCCTCATCTTCCCACCACTAAATGCCTCAGCTTAGTTGAATCTGTACCTATTTTTTCCTTATTCCCTCTTGTTACCATGCAGGAAAGGACCTTCCCACGACCGAAGGCCAGTCCCTCCAGTTGGCTCCAGAAGCTGTCCCCTCTGGACCTCCCAGGGACTTTGCTCCTTCTCGGTTCCCTTCTACTTCCATCATTATTCTCTCTCTAGCAAACCATTCTCATTGGTACAACATGTTCTAGCATCTCCTAATTTAAAAACAAACAAAAGTCTTGACATGACGCTCTTTCCTAGCTGCAACCTTAGTTTTCTAAGGTTGTCTGTGAATGTCCTTATTTCCTCTCCCCTATTTGCTCATTTCCCCCCTATTTTATTTTATTTTGAGACAGGGTCTTGCTGTGTCTCCCAGGATGGAGTGCAGTGGCATGATCGTAGCTCACTGCAGCCCCAAAATCCTGGGCTCAGCCTCCTAGGTAGCTAGGACTACAGGCGTGTGCCACCACACCCCCTAGCTATTTTTTTTTAAAGAGATGGGGTCTTGCTATGTTGCCCAGGCTGGTCTGAAACTCCTGGCCTCAAGTGATCCTCCCACCTTGGCCTCCCAAAGTGTTGGAACTACAGGCATGAGCTACTATGCCGTCTCCTCTATTATTTTAAATTTTAATTTAATATACAGAAAAACTACATAAAACATCACCAGTGTTCAAGATTCTTATGTGTATTCCTCAGATTCTATCTCCCTGCATTCCTTCCAATGGTAACCACTATCCTAAATTTTGTTATCATTCTCTTGCTTTTTTCTTAATCAGATTTGCCATCAAATAATTTACATGCAATAATTAACATAATTTAAAAATACAAGGCAATGAATTTTGCTGGACATATGCCATAATGTAGCCACCACCACAATCATAATCTAGAACATTTCTTTTACCACAAAAAGTTCTCTTGCCTCTTTGTAGTCAATTTCCATCCCCACCCTCAGTCAGTAGCACCCACTGATTTCTATAACTATAGTCTTGTCTTTTCTAAAATTTTATATAAATGGAATTATATAATATGTAGTCTTTTGTGTTTGATCTCTTTCAGTTAGCATAATACTTTTGAGATTTATCCATGTCGTTCTATGTATTAATAGCTCACTCCTCATGCTGAATAGTGTTGCTTTGTGTGGATAAACCACAATTTGCTTATTCACTCATCAGTTGAGGGACATTGGGTTGTTTCTAGTTTTAGGCTATTACATCTCCTAATGCTGCTTTGAACATTCAGGTACAGGTCTTTACATGAACATATGTTTTCATTTCTCTTGGGTAAATACACTCAGGGATGGTATTGTTGGATCGTTTGGAAAGTGTATGTTTAACTTTATGAGAAACTGCCAAGCTTTTTCCAAAGTGAGTGTGCCATCTTTTCATCCCCACCAGCAATGAATGAGAGTTCCAGTTGCTCCTGTCAGACTCTCTACTTTCTATATTGGTGGCATGAAGAAGAGTTAGAAAAGTTCCTCTCTACAGCAAACAAGTATAAAACTGGACAAATTATTAACAACAACCATTTTGGAGCACTGGGAAATGACCAAAGTCATGCAACAACTTGAGAAGTTCTACTCATGAAAACTCTACCCAGTCCAAATAGGAGTGAGTCTGTGGCCTTCATTATGCTGAAAACCTGGTAGGCATTCCTATGCACCTACCTGTATTGAGTTGCAAAAACCTACAGTTATATCAGCTGGAGGTAGTTGTTTTGGTTCGGGGAGGATGGCAGATCAGCTAGTATGGGGAAATTTTAAAAGTGAAAGATTCACAGAATGGCTTATATAACAGAATCTCCACGTAGATCTGGATGAATTTTAACCTGTGTGTGCATTTCAAAGAGCCCTGTGAAAATGAAAAGTCTACAGAGACTTATGATCTGCTGTATCTTTAAACGTGCTCCTCAACCCATACACAACTCAGACAGTGCAGAGTGAAAGCCTTGCTGGCTTGAGGTATCCCCGCATAACCTCTGCCAAATCACTGGCTTACGAATAAACTATGTAGGTGCAGGGGAGACCTTAGGGAGCCAACTACTTCGCCTTCAGGTGAAAAATAAAAATTAAAAATTGACCAGAGACATGAATGGCTACACACTCTGGGAGAGGCATAATTTGCAATTTTGAGTGTAGACTAGTTAGTTACCTGCTGAAACAAAAACAACAATTATGAGAATAATAAAACAGAATCCAAAATCATTAAATGTATTACTTACAGTTTCACTTTTTAACCAAGAAAATTGCTAGATAAGCAAAGAAACAGGCCGAGTGCGGTGGCTCACACCTGTAATCCTAGCACTCTGGGAGGTCGAGGCAGGAGGATCACTCAAGTTCAGGAGTTTGAAACCAGCCTGAGCAAGAGTGAGACATTGTCTCTACTAAAAATAGAAAGAAATTAACTGGCCAACTAAAAATATATAGAAAAAATTAGCCAGGCATGGTGGCGCATGCCTGTAGTCCCAGCTACCTGGGAGGCTGAGGCATGAGGATCACTTGAGCCCAGGAGTTTGAGGTTGCTGTGAGCTAGGCTGATGCCACAGCACTCTAGCCCAGGCAACAGAGCGAGACTCTGTCTCCTAAAAAAGAAAAAAGAAGAAACAGGAAAGAATGACCGATACTTACATTTAATGTGAATGAACTAAACATTCCAATCAAAAGTCAGAGATCAGCCTGGCCAACATTTGGAGACCCTGTCTGTACAAAAAATTTAAAAATTAGCCAGGTGTGGTAGTGCTCACCTATAGTCCCAAGTACTAGAGAGGCTGAGGCAGGAGGATCACTTGGGCCCAGGAGTTCTGAGGTTGCTGTGAGCTGCGACGACGCCATTGCACTCTAGCCTGGTCAACAAAGAGAGACCCTAGCTCTACTTTTTTTTGAGACAGAATCTTGCTCTCTTGCCCGGGCTAGAGTGCCATGACATTAGCCTAGTGCTAGGATTATAGGTGTGAGACACCACACCCAGCCAAGAGAGACCCTATTTAAAAAAAAAAAAAAAAAAAAAAAAAAAAAGCCAGAGATTGTCAGACTGGATTGGAAAGCAAGACTTAATATATGATTTATATCAGAGCTGCACTTTAAATTCAAAGACACAAATCTCACCCAGTGAATCTTTCACTTTGGATAATCTCTAGAAGTTCCATTTGGGCCTTTTTCACATTTTCAAATTCTCTCCTCATTATGGCTATGTTTTCTTCTACCTTTTGAACATATAGAACATATTTATAACAGCTGTTTTAATATTTTTATCCACTAGTTTCATCATTGATACTATTCTGTGTCAATTTTCATCAATTGCTTTTTGTCTATTTGTCTATTCTGGGTCATTATTTTCCTGCTTCTTGTCATGTCTCATGTTATTTATTCATTTTCTCAGATATGGGGCATTGTGAATTTATGTTGCTGGTGGCTGGATTTTCTTATATTGTTTTAATAATATACTTTTTTCTGGCAGATAGTTAAGTTATGTCTATCACAGTTGGATCCTTTCAAGCTTGCTTTTACGCTTCGTCCACAGCAGTGTCTAGCTAGGTTTTAGGTCACAACTACGGTGTTTTACTTGTAAGGTTCCTACCTGGTGGTCCGTACATTATGAGATCTTTCTACTCTGATTTAATGGGAACAAGAGCTTTTTCCAGTCCTGTATGAGGTCTGGGAATTGTTCCATCTATTCCTTTCTGGTAGGTCTTTCCCTGATCTCAGGTCATTTCCCTGACTCAGGTATAGATAAGTACTAGGCCAAAGGTATTAAATAGATCCCTCTGCAGATGCTGGAGCTCCCTTGCATAGCTCTCTCCTCCATAGTATTCTGCCCTGTAAATTGCAGCTGCCTTGTTTCCCCAAATGCCAATCTCTGTTTCCTCCATTCAGCAAGACCACCGGACTCTGTCTGGGGTCCTGCTTTCTGTGCTACTCCATGGCACTGCTTCCAGTGGCTAAGCTGGTACAACTACAGAGCTCACCTTGTTTGCTTTCCTTCACTCAGGCGTTACAGTCCTGCTCTGCCTATTGTCCAATTTCTTTCTTTTGTTTTTTGAGACAGGGTCTCACTTTGTTGCCCAGGCTAGAGTGAATGCCATGGCATCAGCCTAGCTCACAGCAACCTCAATCTCCTGGGCTCAAGCAATCCTACTACCTCAGCCTCCCGAGTAGCTGGGACTACAGGCATGCACCACCATTTTTCTATATATATTAGCTGGCCAATTAATTTCTTTCTATTTATAGTAGAGATGAGGGTCTCACTCTTGCTCAGGCTGGTTTCAAACTCCTGACCTGGAGCAATCCCCCCGCCTCAGCCTCCCAGAGTGCTAGGATTACAGGCGTGAGCCACCACACCCGGCTAGTTCTTTTGCTTTTTAAAAATACTTTTATAGGCCGGGCATGGTGGCTCACGCCTGTAATCCTAGCACTCTGGGAGGCCCAGTCAGGAGGATGGCTCAAGGTGAGGAGTGGGAAACCAGCCTGAGTAAGAGAGACCCCGTCTCTACTAAAAATAGAAAGAAATTACTTGGCTAACTAAAAATATATAGAAAAAATTAGCCAGGCATGGTGGCACATGCCTGTAGTCCCAGCTACTCCAGAGGCTGAGGCAGGAGGATTGCTTGAGCCCAGGAGTTTGAGGTTGCTGTGAGCTAGGTTGACGCCACAGCACTCTGGCCCGGGCAACAGAGTGAAACTCTGTCTCAAAAAAATAAATAAAAATAAAAATACTTTTATAATATAATATGTATCTGCAAAAATATTTTTAAATTTGGGATATTTTAAGATTTTAAGGACACAGTAAATAATATTGTAAGATTTTTTTAATTATTTTTTTTTTCCTCCACTCAAAGTACTATTTATAAGATTCATCTTTGTTGGTCTGGATAACTACAATTCATTCATTTCCACTACTGTATAACCTTCCATTGGGTAAATATACCAAGACTTATCCTTTCTTTTGTCAATGTCTGGATATTGTTTTAGTTATGTGTTATCAGGAACAAAGGTTAGTGCTACTAGCAGTATTCTTATACATGTCTCCTAGTAGAGACATGCAAGAATTTGTTTAGGTTATGTACCATCAGTGAAATGACTGATGGTTTTAAGGGTTTTAAGGTGGACAAAATGTCCACTGTTTAAGATAATGCCCTCCTTTTCCTTTTTCAATCTACTGGGCTGCTTTCAGGCCCTCAGCTCCTTCTTTACCAGTTCAGGGGCTTTTGCACAAACCATTTCCCTTACCTGAAACACTCTGCCCACTTGTCATTGACAAAGCTTGTGCTGTGCGTTCTTTAGCTGCCAGCGGAATATCACTCCACAGAGAAGCATATTCTGACCATCCACTTGAAAGCAGGTTGCCTTCCCTTTATCCATCCTCAAAGTGCCCAGTTCATCTATGGCCTCTCTTCCTCCCTAGGCTGTAAGGCTCATGAGTGTAAGAACACTGTCTATCCTGTTGAACATTATTTATCTGGTGCTTACCTCAATGCCTGGGATGCAGTGGGCATTTAAAAAAAATGTTTCTGGATGAATGAATAAATGAATAAATAAGCAAACTAATAACAGACATTATTAAGGATATAATCCTCAGATAAAGATATTGGGGTTTGAGAATGGTTGTATAACATAGCAACAGGATACAGATAGTAGCTGAAGAAACCAGGATTTGAATATAGGGTGTGTTTTTGAAGGCTTTGGATAACACAGTTAAATTAACAGAATTTGCCAGCAGTTATAAACGTGATCTCTTTGTTAGTTTCTGTAACCCCTTCAACATCTTATTTGATGGAACTTTGGGGAACTTCTTGAGCAGAAACTAACTAAAATTCATCCATAAACTATTGGGCATCTCTTATTCTAGTATGCTCAACATGGGTATTTTATAGATTGCATCAAATCACAAAAGGGTTTCTATACAAGATCGGGAAAGGGAATACTTGGATATGTTCTATCAGTTAGACTTGGACTATACCACAGATTTAAGATTAACCTCATCTGTGCTTTAAGCATAAACTAGAATGAGGATTATGAATTCCTCTAGTGCAGGAACAATGTCCTTACATCTTGGTGCCTAGGATGTCTAGCTCAATATCTAACTCACAGTGAGAGCTCAATACCTATCAGATGAGTGAAAAGCTGCAGGAGTTAGGTCACAAGAGGGGACACCATTTCACCTTAGAGGTAAAATACTACCAATGAGTTTATATGTACATGTTTTCCATATAATGTATGAATATATACATATACATGAAGTAAAATGACATAATTGCATATTCTGAAGCCAATTTCAGAAAATAAACATTATAAGTTATACAAAAATTAAGTTATACAATAAACCAGCATATTATAGGCATGAAGAATATTAAAATCATGGAATTATTGGCAGAACTCTCCCATATAGTAGAAATAACTACAACCACATACTACATAACACACACACACACAAACACACACATCAAAAAGAATTCCAGCAAATGCAATTGTAAAAGAGACTTGAAAGCACAACTAAGATCTAAAGGATAACAACATTACACTAGTTGTTATTGCAGAAGGCTGTGTAGCATCATGGCTAAAAATAGGATCAGGAGCATCAAACCTGGGTTCAAACCCAGCTCTGTCATTTAGTACTGTAAAAACTTGGCAAGTCACAACTCTGAGCTTTAGCTTTCTCATCCGTAAAGCAAGGACAATAACACCTACTTCATACATTTATTAGGAAGGTCAGATGAGACAACAGGAAGGTTTAAACAGTCCTTGACACATGTCAAGTGCTCAGTAAATGAGAGTGTTACTATCGTCATCATTTCCATCATCATTATCATCCTCATATTGGTAATTTGAGTAGCACACTCTAATGGTCTTCTCATGGAACTAGAGATCTATCATGTCGGTGACAGTACAGAAAGTATTTTCTCTATGCACTTGCCATGGCCTCCTTTCTCTACTCAGACAATGGATCATTGTAAAGTACTTGGCCAACTGGATTGATCTGTCATGGGAACAGTTAATGCCAGATGCGCTGGCAATATAAACAACAATATTAGTGCCCATTCCAGGGGAGGAATACTGAGTCCTCGGGATTATAGATTATGGAAGATCTTGATCAACAGTTAAAACAAAAAGGACTCAGAAAAAGGTTTGAGAGTGGGAGGCATACTCTCTTACACAGTAGAGGGGAAGGAAGTTGAGTAGACCTGAGCTGAATCCTAGCTCCCTGACATTATTTGGGAGCTGGGTATCTTTGTGAGCAGTAGCTTCTTCATTTATAAAGTGGGAACATACTGGCCTATCACGATTTCTGTGAGGACTAAATAACGTAATCTCTGCTAAATTGCCTAGCAGAGCACCCAGGACAAAGTAGATAACAAAAACAACAACAACAACAAACAAACAAAGCAACAACAAAAACAGTGAGCTCCTCTTTCCTTCCCAGATTCCTTGAGTATTCTAGAGACTTAGTGAAAGGGAGTTTAAAAAATCCTTTTGGAGAATAAGGGGCAGCTGGATGAGTGGGAGAGTCTTGTTAGAAGTCTTCCTGTTTTTACAAAAGCATGAATTAAGGAAACAATAAATAATGGAGCAGCAAAGGAAGATGAATTACTGAGTGCCCTCTTTGATTTTTCTTTGATTTCTATTTCCTGTCTTCCTAACCTATCTTCTTCTTAGGGCTGCCTGTAGTCTAGATGCTTTTAGAACAAAATGTTCAGGTAACATGACCATACAAATTAAGAATTAAGTATTGGAAGCAATGATAAAGATAGCCCATTGACATCAATCTTTAGTGGCTAGGCATTTTTGTAAGGATAATAGGTTCTGTGAAGCTTCATTTCCTCTTTCAACTCACAACTATTAAGGGTCAAGTATCTATTAGGAACTGTGCTAGGTATGACTGTTAGTTCAAGTTGTTTGCATTACAAATCCTTTCCTCCTACTCCCAACCCCACAAATGTGACTGCAAACAGGAACATTTACACAAAGACAAAACTCTTTTTCATACTGATCTATGACAATTGTCAGCTTTTATAATAATAGGAAGTCAAAGGGGGGGAAATGCCAGGAGGCAACAAAGACAAAACAGACTCATAAAGAAGAGAGTAATAATTAATCCCTGCAGTTCAAATTTTAATTTTAATTTCAATATCTTCATTGATTCTTTTAATCATTTCTAGGAAGTATCTGAGAAATTGGCTTTTAGGCCAGGCACAGTGGCTCTGCCTGTAATACTAGCACTCTTGGATACTGAGGCAGGAGGATTGCTTGAGGTCAGGAGTTCAAGACCAGCCTGAGCAAGAATAATACCCTGTCTCTATTAAAAAAATAATAAATAAATTTTTTAAAAATCTATTTTCAGTCTTTTCACTTATAAAAATTTAATCAGAAATTTCAATTACTTAAATTTCCTTTTCTTTTTTTTTGGAGACAGAGTTTCACTTTGTTGCCCAGGCTAGAGTGAGTGCCATGGCATCAGCCTAGCTCACAGCAACCTCAAACTCCTGGGCTCAAGCAATCCTACTGCCTCAGCCTCCCGATTAGCTGGGATGACAGGCATGTGCCACCATGCCCGGCTAATTTTTTCTATATATATTAGTTGGCCAATTAATTTCTTTCTACTTTTAGTAGAGACGGGGTCTAGCTGTAGCTCAGACTGGTTTCGAACTCCTGACCTTGAGTGATCCACCCGCCTCTGCCTCCCAAAGTGCTAGGATTACAGGCATGAGCCACCGTGCCCGGCCTACATTTTCTTTTTGGTATATAATAAGAATTCTTAGTTTGAGTCTCTTGAGATACCTAAATTTTCTTGCATGTTGTAAATTAATCTCATACATGGACCCCATTGGATTTTCTTCCATTCAAAGTCCCTTGATGCCATCTTTCATAATTATTTTAAATTAATGTTTCCTTGCTACATTGTTTCATGCTACTCCTTTGGAATCAAGACAAAATAAATAGAAACATATGCCTTTGGCTATTACACTAATTAATTGTGTTGAGGAAACAACCTCACTTTGTGTATTCTTTCAGAAGCACAGATTCTCACAAGATTCTTGAACCATTGACAGTTAAAAGTTAATGATGACAATAACAAATGTCAATTTTATAAGGTTTTAATTTATTTTCTTAATAAGGATAATATCTGGGTATTTATTTGTAATAATAACCCAAATTTTAGAGCACTTTCCACCAAGTTACAAAGATCTATCGTAATATTAATAAAAATACGTACTAATATATTTATATCTAAAAACATTGCAGTCTCTTTCTCCTAATCATTTTCTTACTGTTTGTAATGAACAGGATAGCTGAAGGTTCAAAACGCCCCCTGTAAGTCTTCCTTTTGAGATACACCCAGCTCATTGCATGAAACAATATATCTGCATAAATTATTAACACCACTTTAATCCTCCGTTTGAAAATGCAGTGTGAAGCAGACTGTTTTCCTATGTAAGCCACACCATGGGAGCATGTTAATCACCTTTAGACACTGTTCTAACTCTTTCAGCACTTAGCACGGTGCCTCTGAGCGTGAGAGGCTCAGTTATACATGTTCTATTTGCTGGGCTCAGATCATTTGAGTGCTATTTGATGCACTAAATCATTAATAGGTGAAGTGGGTTCATAATCAGTTCAATCCAACAGGCATTTATGGAGCACCTACTATGTAACATGATCATGTCACTCCCATGCTTGAAATCTTTCAATAATTCCCTGTGGCTTTCAGGATAAAATTCAAGCTTCTCAATACAGAATATGAGGCTCCACATAATCCATCAATAATGGCACATATGTGACATGCAGGCTCCCACTCCCCTCTTCTGCTTCCACAACAAATGGAACTAATGTAGCCCATCACTCTTTCCTGCTGAGCATGCACATGGCTTCAGAATCCTTCACAACACAATGTTCCAGGCAGCCACTACCAATAGACCAGAGTGAAAATCTACTTGCTAGTCCTTCCTACCTCTTTAGCATTCTAGAACTTCCCCAAACACCATTTGCTCCATCACATAAAATTACATGTAGTTCTCTAAACATGCAAGACTTTTCCACACACGTATGTGCCTTTGCATATGTTTCCTCCCCCAGAATATTCTTCCTCTTTTTACATGTTTAGCTAACTCCTACTCATCCTGCATAATTCACATCAAGCTTCAATTTCCCAGTCTGATTCCGATGCCTTTCTTCTGTGTGCTGAAAGCACTTAGCATTTTTTTTACTGGACCATAATGGCTCATACTGGACCATAAAAGTTCTAACCACTGTACTAGGTTCGAGGAACACAAAAGAGAGTAATATATACAAACAGGTAACATTTATTCAGCACTTACTATGTGCCAGGCACTGTTCCGAGCATCTGACTTGGATTCTCTTATTCCAACCTCATTGCGCCAACCCTTCAGGGTAGATTCTATGATTATCC